TCTCTGTAGGTGGGGCCTGGAAGTTGCCCACCGCGTGACAGGCCTGGCGGGGAGAGGGGTCTGGGGGTGAGGCCTGGGGCTCAGACGGCTCCTCCCCTCTAATCGTTGGATTTGCCGTGGGGGGCTTTGGGCCAGGGGAGGGGGGGATGGCAAGCCCTTGTCCAGTGGGACCAGTTCCCACCTCAAGGTCGCTGACCTGGCACATCTGGCAGGTCTGAGCCCACGGGATTCTGACTCCAGCATTCCCAGGGTGAGACACTTCAGCACCCATGCCTTCCCCCTAAGACCCCCTGGGCACCCATGCCTCCCCCTCAGACACCCTGGGCACCCATGCCTCCCCTGAGGCCCCCTGGGCACCCATGCCTCCCCCCTCAGGCCACCAGCCTCCCCGTCAGACCCCCTGAGCCTGCCTCCCCCCTCAGAGCCCCTGGGCCAGCCTCCCCACTGAGACCCTGTGGGCACCCATGCCAACCCCCCTCAGAACCTGCCGCTCACCAAGTAGGCAGCGATGCCTGCCCCGATGAGGAAGCCGGCATACACGTCCACCGGGTGGCTGCGGTACTGCGTGATCTGCGTAAGCCCGCACACGCCCGCGGCGATGGCAAAGGCGAAGACCAGGATGGGTTTCAGCAGCTTGGTGGTGTCCGAGATGACGGAGTTGAAGTACATCTGGGGGCATGGGGGTTGGGGGGTCAAGGAGGGCTCCCCGTGGGCCAGCAAGAGGCCCTGAGCAGGGCAGAGGGGAGCTGGACTCACCGACACGTAGACCGCGGCGAAGGCCGACAGTGTGGCGTGCTGCGACGGGAAGGTCTTCCTGTAAGAGGCATCCAGCGTGAGCCCCACCCACCCTGGGACCCCAGCTCCAGTGGCCTCGCTGTGCCTCTGTGTCCCCACATGTTCATGGGGGTGGAAGGGACACGGGGTGGAAGAAGGTTCCCAGCCAGGGGAGTTGGGGGTCCGGCTCACCGTGCAGACAGGATGGCGTGGGTGTCGTGGCCGGAGCAGATGTCCTGCGTGATGTAGGGGTTGACCTCGCAGGACGTGCCCAGGAGCGTGTAGTTGGGCTTACAGACGGTGAGGAAGAAGGGAGTGTGGTAACCCGTGGCCAGCTGGATCACGTCCGTCACCAGGGCTGTGGCGCACAGGCCAAACACGTGGACACCTGTGGGGTGGAAGGCTCGGCCAGGCGGGGAGCTGGGGACCCGGGACAGCCCCAGCCCTGCACGTGGACTCGGCTCAGGGTTGGGGCGCGGCCGGCAACTCACCCACAAACCGCACGGTTCGCCGCAGGAAGGAATTGAAGTTGCAGCCACCGGCGTTGATGCTCCCCTCGGCCCCAGCGGGCCCCCCAGCGCGGCCCCACAGCCGGGACTGCAGACAGTACAACATGCCCTCGGCCACCATGATCTGCCAACAAGGAGGGAGCGCTCAGGCCGCAATGCCCACAGGGAGAGGGCGCTCAGGCAGGCTCCCAGCCGTGGTGCCCACAGGCCGGCCCTCAGGCGGGCTCCCATCTGCAGTGCCCACAGGCTGGCACAGGCGGGCTCCCATCTGCGGTGCACACAGGCTGGCACAGGCGGGCTCCCATCTGCGGTGCACACAGGCTGGCACAGGCCCCAGTGTGGGTGCTCACCGAGGCAGCAGGGGCCGCGAAGGCCAAGCTGAGCAGCATCAGCAGCGGGATGAGTTCCTCGTTGGTCTCCACGTAGGGCATGGAGAGAGTGCGGTCATAGCACTGGAAGCCCACGTTGGCCGGCTTGAAGAGGTCGGTCAGCTCCAAGAAGTACAGGGATACGATGGAGGAAGCCACTATGGGCAACTGTGGGCACAAGGCCGACCAGGTTCACCCTGCTGTCCCTCATGGAGGCGTCTGTCCAGTCCTCCATGAAGTCAGGGCCATCCACGGTCTCACTCACCCACCCACAGATCCAGCTCACTGCCAGCCACTCTTTCCCCCATGAATTATTCATCCATCCACAGATGCTCCATCCATAACTCGACCATCTACACACCACACAGCCACCCACCCATCCACCCAAACACCTATGCCCACAACATCCACCCACTCACCCATCACCCACCCATCCACCCACTGGGAACCATCCATCCATTCATCTACCCACCCACCCATCATCCATCCCCCCCATCCTCCACCCATGCACCCAACGGTACCTATCCATTTATCCACCCACCCAGCTGTCCATCCATCCATCCATCCATCCATCCATCCATCCATCCATTCATTACCCAGCCACTCATTCATCCATCCATCCATTCATCCATCCATCCATCATCCACCCACGCACCCAACGGTACCCATCCATCTACCCCACCCAACTGCCCATCCATCCATTCATTACCCAGCCATTCATCCATCCATCCAT